GCTCCTGTTAACAAATGTTGGTTTTCACGAGACTCACCGGCGCATGCGCAACGCTGACCTCATACTTCATCCTCCCGGAGCTGCTTCCGTGTACAACTGTTGGTGCAAGCTACATTAAAGTGATTATTATGTTTTGAATATGGATATTTTTCTTACAAAAATGCATCGATTCGCTACAGGAGGCCTCTGTTTACCCCCCGAAGCCGTGTGAGACACTTTTTCTTATGGATGGGCTTTTTATTTAACTTCTTTTGGACTGATGCACTGCAACACCCACTGAGTGCCATTAAACAGCTCGAAAGATCAAAGACAATTTTTAATATAACTCCGACTGGATTCGTCTGAAAGAAGAAAGTCATATACACCTAGGATGACTTGAGGGTGAGTAATTTATGGGCTAATTTTCATTTTTGGGTGAACTAACCCTTTAAAAGGCTCTGCCGCCATAAGGTTTGTGTCAAGCCATTCATTAATCTGGCTGTTTGATAAAGAGAAAGAGATCAGATTTAGTAAAAATAAACATGTTAAGAATCATTAGAAGTGTTTTTTTAAGGACTATTATTATGTTGTAATGTTTGGTTGACCAATCAGCGGAGAGGGGCGTTTCATTCCCGCCCACAGGTAGAGATGGAATATTCAAGTTGCTTATTCGTTTTCTATCCTTGAACGTAAAAACGAAAAATGAAGCCGGATTCTTGACTTTTCGTTTTGTTTGAACAATTGAAAATTATTATGTTGTAATGTTTGGTTGACCAATCAGCGGAGAGGGGCGTTTCATTCCCGCCCACAGGTAGAGATGGAATATTCAAGTTGCTTATTCGTTTTCTATCCTTGAACGTAAAAACGAAAAATGAAGCCGGATTCTTGACTTTTCGTTTTGTTTGAACAATTGAAAAAACGAAATATGTTCCGTTTTTCATTTTTCAGATTTCAATATTAAATTAAAAAACGATTGGACGGAAGATACCCTGATTCTCTATCCCCCAATTTTTGAAATAATGTTACAAATTCAGTTTGCAAAAGGAAACTCAAAGAAAACTGCCTTTAGTATCAATAACTCTGTTATTTACATAAATATGTAGGTCACAAAGTACTCTCAACGCGAGGAAGCATGTGGAGAGAGCGTGACCTTTAACCCCAAACCCTATGTCGTCATTTCCCCAAGACTCAGCGGCTAATGCCCAATGCTGCTGAGAGGGAAAGAAAGAGTGAAGAGCGAAGAGTGAAGAGTGGGAGGGAGGAAAGGAGAAGGAGATAAAGAAAGGGAGAGTCGAGCGCGGAAATTTCGTGCCCGCTTCTTGGCGCGAATCTGGCAGGAAAAAAAATAAAAGCGGAAAGCGGTCGCTAGGTGTTTTATAGATTACTGTTTTTAAGCTACCAACCCTCGAGCTCTTGTGTTACTGAAGACTAGCTCGCTCGTTAGCATTTTTAACATTCTTTACCACAGACCACATCTCATCTTCAGATCTCTAACTTCTTTAAAGCGTTTAGAGTGCAGTAGTCGCGTCAAGGTGGTCGTATAAAATCTGCACAATGGGGGTGAGTTTGTCTGTCCATGCTGTATGTTGTTAGTTTTGCTCTTATTTGGGCTTTGATAACTTGATTTTTCGTTTTGTTTGAACAATTGAAAAAACGAAATATGTTCCGTTTTTCATTTTTCAGATTTCAACATTAAATTAAAAAACGATTGGACGGAAGATACCCTGATTCTCTATCCCCCAATTTTTGAAATAATGTTACAAATTCAGTTTGCAAAAGGAAACTCAAAGAAAACTGCCTTTAGTATCAATAACTCTGTTATTTACATAAATATGTAGGTCACAAAGTACTCTCAACGCGAGGAAGCATGTGGAGAGAGCGTGACCTTTAACCCCAAACCCTATGTCGTCATTTCCCCAAGACTCAGCGGCTAATGCCCAATGCTGCTGAGAGGGAAAGAAAGAGTGAAGAGCGAAGAGTGAAGAGTGGGAGGGAGGAAAGGAGAAGGAGATAAAGAAAGGGAGAGTCGAGCGCGGAAATTTCGTGCCCGCTTCTTGGCGCGAATCTGGCAGGAAAAAAAATAAAAGCGGAAAGCGGTCGCTAGGTGTTTTATAGATTACTGTTTTTAAGCTACCAACCCTCGAGCTCTTGTGTTACTGAAGACTAGCTCGCTCGTTAGCATTTTTAACATTCTTTACCACAGACCACATCTCATCTTCAGATCTCTAACTTCTTTAAAGCGTTTAGAGTGCAGTAGTCGCGTCAAGGTGGTCGTATAAAATCTGCACAATGGGGGTGAGTTTGTCTGTCCATGTTGTTTGTTGTTAGCTTTGCTCTTATTTGGGCTTTGATAAATGCGTGCGGTAATTTGAACAAAGACTGATAGAAGCAGATCATTCTCCCCGGAAAGAGTGTGTGTGTGTGTGTGTGTGTGTGTGTGTGTGTGTGAAGGAGATAAACGCGGAACTCGTGAATTACGAGGGGGTGGTGGTGAGATTTTGGTGGTTTAAAGATGCTCAGGTCCTGAATGGATTCTTGTAGTGTCCATCCGTGTAACACAAATGTCCACCTCAAACGCTTTCTGGTTCATTTCAGGTGCCTCGTCGACTGCGCCATTTCTTTAACACCAAGCACAATAACACTGATACATTTAACACGGCAAACTGTTGCTGTTTTCGTCAGACTGCCTGTATTGCCCTTTTCCAGCAGTCGATGCATTAAAGTCATACGAGGAGCAGGTGAGATATGAGTGTAATGTGTAAAAGCCGTTTCTATGAGCTCCTCATACAGGCTTTTAATTAGCACGATGCCAGCAGCCACTGCGAGATCAAACCTCCTCACGACAGCATCATTGCTTGGTCGAGTTTGAATGCTAGATTTATGTCTGGCGTTAGTGAACTTCATGTACTGAGCCCACCGCCGTCAATCCCTTCTTCTCCACGTGCTTTGTGTTCTCAGCACCTGCTTCCTGCTTCTCCTTGCCATTAATGTTCGTGGAGGTAAAGTGCAGCTTTCTTTTTGTGCCTCCAGCTAGATATTTGCTCCTGGTGTGTTCTTTTTGATGATACACAATACAAATCTTAAAAACAGGCGTTAAACCCTCAGATTTACACGAATACCATTCTTTTAAAGTGTCCACTGATGCGTCGCTACCCCCATGCAGTCACATGTTTGTGCAGAGAAACAAATGCAACCATAAATATGTTTGTGCGAAATGTTTTGAAGGCAACATTATTGTTTGCTTGCGATGGATGCGTACATATTGACTGGGATGGGTAGTCGAACAATATTTGTCCATTTTGAGTTTGTCAGCTTTGGAAAATAGTTGCTATTTGTGTTTATTATATATATATATATATATATATATATATATATATATAACGAAAGTTTTGTGAATTAGTAGTAAATACTTGCTATTTGAAGAAAAAAAAATCATGTTGTGAAATAAGTGTTTAATTCCACAGTTTTGTGTGCTGTCTCATTTGATGTGATTCAATTATTGTATACAAGGGTGTCCAAAAGTCTCATACGAATATACTAGTGACATTTTTTTTTTAAATGTAATTGACAAACTTTCATTATATAATTGTCAGCATACCAGTTTGAGTGACGACAAGTTAAATTTCTGATTTGTGACATTCCAGAGTATCTTATGTATGTACTGAAAATGTATGATTATTTGATTAATTTCCTCTTCATTTGTCGTAACATTTAGTTTTTCAAAATCCTAGAACGTATAATAAAATAATATCCCAGATTTTCAATATCTAAAATTTATTTATTCAATTAATTTATTTATATAGTTTATACACTGCAGATTTTCAAAAGCAGCTTCACTATAACAAACAAGAAAATAAGTGTTAATGTTGCAAAATTCATCAAATATGAAATAACTTCAATATCAGCATTAAAGCAGCTCTACAGAAGACTAGTTTCATTTTTCAATTCAGTTAAATTCATTTTAGAACCCACTGTATGTATATATTATACTGACCGCCCCGCTCTCTTTCCCAAAGTAGGACTCAAAGTTATAAAGTATAAATATTTCAGACCATTTTCCTCACTCTTTTATCTTTCCATTACTATTTAGAGAAAATCAAACAGAGCAAAAGAAAAAAAGCAGAGAAGACTTGAAGAACGGGCAGCTATGGATGCAGTTTGTGCAAAGGTGGAGGCAGCCAATAAGGTATGCTTTGAGAACATCTAAAAGAAACCTTTTCAAAATATGTGCACGTGTCTTCAAATTGCAGTGTTAATGTTCTTGCAGTAGAGAAATATTGACACAATGTGTCCCGTGGCTTGTTACAGCTTGAAGATCCTCTGTCTGCAATGCCTGTGTTCAAAAAGTATGACAGAAATGGGTACGCTATCCCTACGTTTCCCCTTTGACGGATGTGTCATATGCTGCCTCTAAACTGGTAAACGGATCATTTCATTTTCTGATATCCAATACTAATATTGTGAATATCTGAATCTGTCACAGGCTAAACCTGGAGATTGAGTGTAAACGGGTAACTGCATTGAGTCCAGATACAGTGGAGTGGGCCTATGAGTTGACTAGAGCCAACATGCAGACGCTGTAGGTATTGAGCAAGTCAACATGTGGGGTAATCCAGCATCCCATATTGTTACTGCTTTAGATGTTTATTATGTTTTATTTGTCCATTTTTAGTGTCTGGCATTTATGTTGTTCCTGCAGAGATTCTTAATGGATACTTGTTAGGTTTTGTATTCTATTGACATTCAGATACAGGTTTTGGGTTGAATGGAAGTCAGTTATTGCTATTTACCATTAAAGGTATAGTTCACCCAAAAATGAAAATTGTCATCTACTTTTAAATTATAATTAATTTTAGAACACTGAACTTATTTACTCACCCTCATGCCATTCTAAGACTCTGACTGTTGAATGAAAGTCAGTGTGCTTCTTTACCACAGATAATACAAGGGATACAGGCCTGGAATGACATGAGGGCAAGTAAATGATGACAGAGTTGTCATTGTGGGTCAACTATCCCTTTAAAACTGGAGGACATTTCTGCTGCTGGTCATTTTGCTATTTATGAAATATAGTTCCAGGAGAAATGTCAATTTGGGCAGTTTATAAGAAAATAATTTTTTGTTCCATTATGTTTTGGCAGATATGAACAGAGTGAGTGGGGATGGAAGGAGAGGGAGAAAAGGGATGAGATGAAGGACGAGAGAGCATGGTATCTCCTGGCCCGTGATGCTGGCTCCACACCTGTAGCGTTTTCACACTTTCGATTTGATGTAGAGTGTGGAGATGAGGTTTTATATTGGTAATGTTGCTTTAAGTATTACTTATAGGACAGCTATGATTTTCTCTTTGGGGATTATCAAAAATCTCTTTACTTGTTCGGAATGCGCAATGTTTCAGTACCATATTGGTTACCGACTGATATTAGAATTTTTTTTTGTAATTTATTGATATCGGCCGTTTAATTGTTCATGTTCACTTTTTTTACACCTTTGCATCATCTAACACATTTAAAGCTAATCTATAATAAAACGATTATTTATTAAAATTTTTAGACAATCTAAACATGAATATCCTTTTTCATATTGTATGTTATAATGTTGCAATACCTAAATTAACATGTATCATTTAAAATGATTGTTTTTAGTTTTTGTCTGATTTGAAATTTATTTAGTATAGTACTGAATTGATCAGTTATTGTCCTTAAAGGGATGGTTCACCCAAAAATAAATTCTGTCATTTGTTACTCACCCTCATGTCGTTCCAAACCTGTAAGACCTTCGATCATCTTCGGAAAACAAATTAAGATATTTTTGTTGAAATCTGAGCGCTTTCTGTCCCTCCATAGACAGCAACGCAACTGGAATGTTCCCAGGCCAAGAAACGCAGTAAGGACATTGGTAAAACAATCCATGCTCAACCGTAATTGCGTGGTGGTACTCTCGAGAATGGCAGCAGACGGTAACTCTGGGGAGAAGAATTGTTGAATAAAGTTATTTTTATTCTCTTTGTGCACTAAATGTATTCTTTCAGCTTTGTAAAATTGTGGTTGAACCACTGATGTCACGTGGACTATTTCAATGATGTCTTACATTTCTGGACCTCGGAACATTTCAGTTGCGTTGCTGTCTATGGGAGGGTCAGAAAGCTCTCGGATTTCATCAAAAATATCCTAATTTGTGTTCCGAAGATAAACCGAGGTCTTAATAGGTTTGGAACGACACGAGGGTGAGTAATTAAAGACTCCCTTTAACATGAAAATAATTGGCTTATTAATATCTGCCATAATTGTAGTATTGTGCATGTCTATCTATCTGTCTACCTTCATTGCACATGTTGTATAAGTGGGAGTGCGACTTGTCTCGCGTGTTATTTTTGCAATGTGTGACTTGACTGATTCTGAGTCATACAAGACACATGACCTCAAGAGAGTGCTGTTTGTATCTGACTGATTATAATAATGTCTCCTCAGTTATGAAGCTCAGTTGGAGAGTAAAGTCAGGCGGAAAGGCCTGGGGAAATTTCTCATCCAAATCCTTCAGCTTATTGCCAACAGGTACCACAACAAACACGGCATTCCAAGAATATGTTTTTGCCAAAACTCATCGCTCTCCTCTTGTTCTTGTGTCTTTCCTCAGCACGCAAATGAAAAAGGTCATGCTGACCGTATTTAAACACAACCACGGTGCTTACCAGTTCTTTAGGGAGGCTTTACAGTAAGTCCCATCCTTCTGGACTCATACGCATTCACCACTTCCTCACTGCATGAAATTCCTGTTCCTCTTCTGAATGCAGATTTATATACCGGCCTGTATAATCGACAGAACGCTGAATGATAGCAGTTGCCATAGCAACAAGTGCCTGCTCTGCTTATTCGGTGTTAAAATATGAATTCACCAACAGCTGTCCTCTTCCTTTTTAGGTTTGAGATTGACGAAACGTCACCCAGTATGTCTGGTTGCTGTGGAGATGACTGCACCTATGAGATTCTGAGCCGGAGAACAAAGTACGGCGAGGCCTCGGGACATGCGCATGGGGGCGGCCACTGTGGAGGCTGCTGCCATTAAGAGCGACCCTTCCTCTGTTGTTTTCAGAACTTCCTCATCCTCATTCCCTCCCCTGCTCCATCACCCACAATCCCCTCTTAGAAAGCCCTTAAGACAGTCTCTCCTGCCCATAATCAGCAATGAAACCCCATCGATGCTTGCTCTTGGTTTTTAACTTAAAAAGCTCATTCACCATTTCACATAGTAAGCGACGTTTTCAGTCTCAAAGGTTTGAATGACGACAAAATGGCAGTGAAGGCCACTGTGAGCCAAATGTAACCTTTTTCACCTCAGGTATCAGCATGGTGAGGCTCAACCGTATGTCTTTGCATTCTGTCCAGATGCAAAAAGAGCCGGGGTTTTTTTTTTCTTTTTTTTTTTTTCCTCAGCTGTTTTATTTCCATAGTGAGTGAATGCAGGTGTTGGTCACAGTGGTTGTTACAGCCTTTTCACTCTATACCACTTTTCAGGGTAATTGTATTTTAACTAAAAGCTGATGTTTGCTTATTACTTCGAGAAAGAGAATACGACGATCTGTACTGTTTATAATTAGTAATCACTCAACCTAGACTGTCTCAGGTCATTCAACTTATAGCAAAATGTTTTATAACAGCTGTATTTGGGAATTGGTGGATGATTATGTTGCTGTTTGATTTGATACAGGAGTTGGCATGTAAGCTATGGTCATTTTATTTTTTTTATCATAACATTCTTTTATCATGTCATTACTGTATATTTCCATTTTTCTTCTTTGTATATAATCCGTTTGCCATGTACATTTTATTTGCCTTCAAAGCCAGTGGAAAAATGATATACAAAACGGTTTGAGAGATGAGTGTTCTGGGCTTGTGCTCTCTTGTTGAACTGAAACGAAAGGTCATTCCAGCTTTGTTACGTGTTTGATTTGTATGCAACAAATAAAAGAATCTTGTTTGACTTATTGACGTTCAGTGGGGTTTAAACATTTGTTCAAATGAATCTTGCATAACCCATTCTTAACGTTTTAACTTTTTTCCCAAACGATTGGTAGATCATAAGTAAAAAAAAAAGTGTGATGATAATCCAATGCCCACCCTTGGTCTTAATAAGAAAGACTGCTTTGTTTGAGTCCTTTGAAGTTAACATTGAGGGACGGACAGAAGTAAAACATCAGTATTATGAGGACGCTTTTTATTTTAAGCAGTGGTTAGTTAAGGGATATCAACTGCACTATTTACGATTACAGAGATTTTAGAAATCCTATTTGCACCTATTATAAATTTTGGGGTAATTTGAAAAGTCTTATGTTCACCAAGGCTGCATTTTTTAAAATCATAAATACAGTAAAACAGGCATAATGTGAAATATTAATAATAAATAAAAAATTAAAATGTTGGTTTTCTGTTTTAATATAATATTTAATAAAATGTGAATTATTTGTGTGATTGTAAAGCTGAATGTTCAGCAGCCATTAGGCTACTCCAGTTTTCAGTCACACGATTCTTCAGAAACATTTTAATATGCTGCTTTCACAAAACATTTCTAAGTTTGTTTATTTAGTGCAATTTTTAAGTTGAATGCATCCTTGCCTAATAAAAGTATTAATTTCTTTGTTTTTAAATGAATTTGGGCTGTAGCATAGATAGACAGCAGCAACATTACATGTATCCATGCTCTGCCAGAAATGCTCATTATGTAAGCAGCTTTTTTCAAACTTACAATGATGCAGGAATGTCTTTCATTCAGAATGTTTTGCAGAAGGACATTTAAGTGCTTGCAAGGCAGCAACTGAATAGATTTCAGATTTACGTTCTTTTAAACATATGACGCATACTGTAGCCTGGCTTTTAAAACATATCCATTTCATTATGAGACTGAGTTTAGCATGCAAAAATCTCTTCAGCCAAGAGGTGTGAAATTGAATTACAACCAAATATGATTTGCATTTATAAAACTTACTTTAATTCACATTCAAAATATTTTAGCTCTGCAACAAACTGAACAAGGACAAAGAAAATTATTAATAAAACATAATAGAAAAAAAAATCTGTGACTGCTTTACTGGAATGTTGTAATGCATGATATATGATATCAGGAACTACGGGATGATGTAATTACGGTAAACCATCCATGACATTAAAGAATCACTAAATCGTTTTGAATTGATTCTTAGCAACATAAAGTAAATTATGGAACCGAGTCAGATTTTCTCATTAATATCTCATCTCTCTTCAGTGTGCAGGTGTGTGTATATAAATGTAACAAAGCAAAAAGCAATCGCTATGCAAATACTGATTACAGTTACATTTGGAATGGTGAACGTATTAAGGGGTCGTGCACACAGAACACATTTTTGCATTCACTGTGCTGCTTTTGCATTGTTGTAAGCATGTTCTAGACAAACGTGTTTGAGAGGTGCGTGGCCACAATTTAAATGCAACGAGGGAACAAATTAATAAGTTCTGGGAGAACATTTTTATTCAATATTTTTATATAAATAGATTTTAGCCATTTTTTATATAAATAGATTATAGCCATTTTTGTCTGCATGTCATGTGCTGGGCTCCATAGTTTTTTTATGCAAACATGTACTAAACAGACTTTGAGTCTTGTGTCTTTTGTACATGCTCTTCTACAAAAAGTGGAGCTCAAGTAAAACTTAAAAAAAAAAAAGCATGTCTAAGCCTTTTTTTTTCTTCCACTGCCCTGCATCTCATTGCCTTTTTAATGCAAAAAATGTGTTCTGTGTGTATGGCCCCTTAGACATAGGCCACAATTTAAATGCAACGAGGGAACAAATTAATAAGTTCTGGGAGAACATTTTTATTCGATATTTTTATATAAATAGATTTTTGTCTGCATGTCATTTGCTGGGCTCCATAGTTTTTTTATGCAAACATGTACTAAACAGACTTTGAGTCTTGTGTCTTTTGCAGTGTCTTGTGTCTTTTGTACATGCTCTTCTACAAAAAGTGGAGCTCAAGTAAAACTTTAAAAAAAAAAGCATGTCTAAGCCTTTTTTTTTCTTCCACTGCCCTGCATCTCATTGCCTTTTTAATGCAAAAAATGTGTTCTGTGTGTATGGCCCCTTAGACATAGGATTATCTTCAAAATTAGGTTTAATGAAGTTTGCATGTTTTGTGGATAAGAATAAAAATTGTTTGAGGAATGTCATGAAACTGAATCCCGCTCTTTCTCCCTCTCCCTCCTCTCTCCAGACTGGTGCAGAAAGCTGAGCTCACTCGTTTGTCCCACACCTTCCTCCATGTTCCTCAGCTGCACTGGATCGTGGTGGAGGACGCTCCTCAGCCGACTCCACTGGTCACAGACTTCCTGGCTGCATCTGGCTTGACCTACACCCATCTATACAAGCTGACCCCCAAAGACAGGAAGCTGCAGGAGGGAGATCCCAGCTGGCTGAAGCCCCGGGGGGCTGAGCAGAGGAACGAGGGTCTGCACTGGCTCAGGGAGATGGGCGCTGCTGCTAAAGGAAAGGAAGCGGCTGCCCTCGAGGAGGCTGTGGTGTACTTTGCTGATGATGACAACACATACAGCCTGCAGCTTTTTGAAGAGGTGAGGGGTTTTAATGGTTAAATGAACACTACCGTTCAAAAGTATGGGGTTGATAGGATTTTTGAAATGTTTTTGAGACAAAGTTTCTTATGCTCATCAAGGCTGCATTTATTTGATAAATAAAATTTCACAGTGATATTGTGAAATATTGTATTATTGATTGTGAATTTGTCAGTATGTTTTCAAATTTAATTTATTCCTTTTTGATGGTGAAAGTGAGTTTTCAGCAGCCATTACTCAAGTCTTCAGTGTCACACAGTCCTTCAGAAATCATTCTAATATGCTGATCCCCAACATTGAAAACAGTTGTGCTGCCTAATATTTTTGTGGGAAGGTTCAAAAGAACAGCATTTTTTTTTAAATAGAAAACTTTTGTAACATTATGCATATCTTTCCGCTCGCTTTTGATTTATATGTTGCATCCTTGCTGAGCAAATGTATTAATTTCTTTTAAAAAAAATCGTACTGACCCCAAACTTTTGAATGCTTGTGTGTTACGAGTAAAATGTTTTGACACACTTGAATGAATTTGTTTCTCAAAATATTTTGTTCAAAAGGCGTAAATGTTTTGCTTTATTGTCCAAAATTTGTTTTGTGGGAAAATGTTTGAATTTGTGAAAACTGAAAATTGTTTCTACAAATGTTTTTTTTTTTTTTTTTTACAATATTAACATTTTTATTAAAACAAATTAATTCACTTAAATAATTCACTAAAATGGTTTTATCACTCCATAATTTCTTTACCTTGATGTATATTATTTTTCATACACTGAATGTTATTTAAAGCTTTTTTTCTAATTAATTCTATTTTTTCTGATATGTAGAAAAGGGTATTAATAAAATGTTTATTACTAGATTTAAATGCTAAAGTTATACAGATGTAATTACATATTGTTTAGGAGGATTGCAGTGAAAACTGAGCATGAGATCATTTCAGGAGTCATTACATTGGAGTTTTCTGGTTAAACCTCCAGATGGAGCTGTGCTTCGGTTGTATTGAGGTGTCAGATGTTCTCTTTTGGAGATGTAATCAAACTCCTCCTCAAAGCCCTTCTCAAAATGTTGTCTGTACATAGTCTTTGCCTACGAACATATGGACAGAAGTTGTTTCTTTGTCATTATCTATCACTTTTTTGCCATCCACATTCTTGTTCCTGTCACGCTCAGATGCGGTACACATACCGTGTCTCTGTGTGGCCTGTGGGTCTGGTGGGTGGGATGAAGTTTGAGCGGCCCGTGGTGGAGGATGGGAAGGTTGTGCGTTTCCACACTGGCTGGCGTCCCAATCGCCCGTTCCCCATCGACATGGCTGGTTTTGCTGTGTCCCTGAGGTTGATCCTGACCAATCCCCAAGCACGGTTTGACGGTGATGCTCAGATGGGCTTCCTGGAAAGCAGCTTCCTTCAGCACCTGGTTACTATGGATGACCTTGAGCCCAAAGCAGATCTGTGCACTAAGGTAGCTCCTTGATTCTGTTCCTAGTGTTTGGTGATTAACCAGCTTTTGTGCATGTTAAGATAATGCGACATGACCTTAAACATCATATTTTTGTGAGGTTTTGGCTTATTAAGTGTTATTAAAATAAATTTGCTTGCAATGTCATGCAGGAACAAGAAATAGACTGAGCTGTAAAGCTTTAAAATGAACAGTTCTCCATAAATGGCCATAAATTGTCTTCTGTTATATAAGCAAAAGAATGTCAGAGTAACACTTTTCCATACTAAGAAACCCCTTTTTTTTGTATGTTCATGTTCATATTCAGTGTGAATTTAGAATTATATAGCTTAATTTTAAGTTCAGTTTTTTAATATTTCCAAATAGTTTACATTTATTTCAGCATTAGCTTTTATTAATAATTTCAATTTAGACTCGTTTCAGTTAGTTGACATGGCAGCATTTCAAATTTCCACTATATGTGACCCTGGACCACAAAACCAGTCATAAGGGTCAATTTTTCGAAATTAAGATGTATACATCACCTGAACGCCGAATAAATAAGCTTTCCATTGATGTATGGTTTGTTAGGATAGGACAATATTTGGCCGAGATACAACTATTTGAAAATCTGGAATCTGAAGGTGCAAAAAAATCTAAATATTGAGAAAATCACCTTTAAAGTTGTCCAAATGAAGTTCTTAGCTATGCATATTACTAATCAAAAATTAAGTTTTAATATATTTACAGTAGGAAATTTACAAAATAACTTCATAGAACATGATCGTTACTTAATGTCCTAATGATTTTTGGCATAAAAGAAAAATCTATAATTTTGACCCATACAATGTATTTTTGGCTATTGCTACAAATATACCCCAGCGACTTAAAACTGGTTTTGTGCTCCAGGTTCACATATATGAAAAATGTTCTATAATATTTAGATTTTTTCTGAATGCCATGACCTATTTCTCTAAATTGTTATTCAGTAAATTCCATTTCAAATTCCTTGGTGGACAATTAATTTTAAATTTCAACCTCATGAACTGAAAGGAAGCCATTACTTAAATTCTTAATTTTGCCCAACCTTTTTTGGAATGACGTAAGGGTGAGTAAACGATGACTTTTTTGGCTCATCTATTGCTTTATTTACTATTGAAATGATTTTGCTCTTGCTCAGGTGCTGGTGTGGCACACCCGAACTGAGAAGCCGAAGATGAAGAGGGAAGACGCTTTGCAGAAGCAAGGGTTGGGTTCAGATCCGGATGTGGAGGTGTAAGCACCACCTCTTCAGAACATGCCTGAACTTCACCAAACATCCACACTTCCATTGTGCCAAACAGATTCTCTTATTTATGGCAAGAGGTGAAATTTGAAAGTGTGATTTCTGAGCCACACACCAAAGACATGAGGAATGAGGAAAGGAAGTGATGAATGCAGGGATAAAAAAAGTGCAAGAGACAGAAGCAAAGAAACCTGCAGCCTAAAAGAAAATGGATTCTTGCATCCCATAAACCATGCTTATCATTGGTACACTTGAACAGTATTTAAAGAGAATTTTATATATGGTATCAATAAATAAGATGAGCTTGTATTTATAGATTAGAAGTGTAATTGTATAGTGTGAGGCTTGCTTGGAATATATTTATAATGTGAACTCATTATGACTATGCTGTACATGTCTCTGTTACCTTCAGTCTAGGTGTACCTGTCTTATGTCTTCACATTAAGTCTTAAAGTCTATGATAATTTTTTTTCTTCACTGATAAATGGAGGATATAAATAGGTCAGATATGGTGTCTATTTATGCCATTAACCATCTTTGTTGAATCACAATGGTGTGCTTATCTTTAATCCAGTTGCATGTTGGGTATGTGGCACTGGTAAAGCTTCAGGTGACAGTGTAAAGTACAGATGAGGTCACTTGATCCTGTGAAACAAAGGGTGAAAACAATTAGAATTACTTGGGTGTCGATGTAGAAATGTAAATAGTGCAAGAATGTAGCGGACAGTTCGGTTTTAGCACATTTTGTCAGATTCCATGTGAATTGAATTGGCCACAACTCAGAGGAAGTTGAATAGAGTGCAAAAGTCCAATTCTGGAAGTTGAAAATTTAGATTTTTAATGATAATGTGTTAACTATTAAAGACAGATGAGACATGCTTTTGATGATGCCATCAGCCTGTATTATTTCAACTTATTAATTTTAAATAATCATGTTCAACAGTGGGATTCCTGGTGAAAACTTCATTACCCACAATTCTGCAAAGAATCGCAGAATTGAATGTAAATATTGCCTACATAGTATGGAGTCAGTCTCCCTACATTCCCAAATGACTTAAACATTTGTGCATATATGTACATTTTGCAATAAATGTAAAATATATTGTTTCTTTATAACCTTTATACCATCCTCCTGTAGCTCAAACAGTAGAGCATGGTGCTAGCAATGTCACGGTTATGGATTCAATTCCCAGGGGAAGCAAGAACTGATTAAATTGTGAATGCAGTGTAAGTTGCTTTGGATGAAAATGTCTGCCAAACGCATAGATGTAAATCTTTAGGTCAATAGTTCTATATTTCTCCAGCTTTCCCTCATTAAAGCTGTCAAGTACTCAGTTTTGTACCTTTGTTTTTTGTATCAAATCATAGTTTGTAATGCTGTGATTCACTTTGTGGCTGATTGGTTTTGGTTCATGGTTTATACATTTTTAACAAAAAGATATATACAGCTGAAAAAGTGGACAGGTATGGTTGCACTTGATTGGAATGACAGGAAGGTGATCAATCTATCCATAAAGCGTATAGAACTTCATATCTTTCAAACGAGGCTTTGCCAAGCCAACATTCAAAGCTTGTCTTTACCTTTAATTCTACTTTCTTAGATTTGAGTAACATTTTCTGCTTGCTATCACCACAGTTTAAATTCTGATTCTGGAATTTAATCAGAATTTAAAAAGCATTTTTAGTTTATTTCTGAATGACCATCATGTCAAGGCCACTTGAATTTTCAAGCACCACCAGTGTCTCATGGCTCTCTCTTTCTGTAAATAAAAGCATTTGCCATTGGCAGATATTTTTCTCAGGTATTTTTGAATGGCATGTCTAATTCGTAGCCATCCTGAACAGACAAATCCTCAACTTTTTACAAGTTGCTGATCCCTCACTATGTATGAAGTTATAGAAACCACAAGGAATGAACAACCAGACAGTACTCCCTCCTTATAATGACTCAATAGTACTGCAACATCCTGTGTCCTCACACCTGAAACAGCTGTTTTTGTATATCCTGGAAGGGCCGTCGCCACAGGGCAGTGACCTTAACTCTTCTTCAGACTTTTTTTTTTTTATCTGGAAGAAGTTGCATAAGGATAGACAATTCTTCAAACAACTACTGATGTTTCAGTTATTTTAAAGAACGCATGAGATCCAAAGACAGATTTTTAGACATCACTTCAACGTACAATTGCATGCACGTTCTTAAGTATTACCCTGTAGCAGACATTTAGAGGCCACACCTAATGTTTCCAGGTATTTATTGCAATCATTCTCTTTCCATCACTGTCACTTTTGTATTTTGAGATCCTTGTTTTACCCTCTTTATGTATTCCAACATTCGTTTGAGGGGGGGGAAACATGTAAATAACCAAGAGCATTTGGGAACATTGTGTTATGAGTATGTGTGTTGTGTACAGTGAGAGTTCAGTGGATTAGTATTCATTTTGGAAATGGAAATCCCTCACAGTGCATCATGTTCCCACCCAGTGAATAATCCCAAAAACACATTTAAGAGTCCTGCTCAGGTGAGTCAGTTCTTCTGGTAATGGTTCTTGGTAACACTTGTACTTACAACTTTACAACTTGTGCAGTAACATTTTGAAACTGTTTGTGTATTTAGGTCTGAGTTGGCTGATACTTAGAATTTTGTATTTTTTGTAGGCTGCTTCACTTCTTCAGTTAATTAAATGAAACAGAAACCGAGAGAGAGAGAGAGGGAGGTATTAGTGTGCTTGAGTGACGTCAGGTGAGTCAGTTCTTCTGGTAATGGTTCTTGGTAACACTTGTACTTACAACTTTACAACTTGCGCAGTAACATTTTGAAACTGTTTGTGTATTTAGGTCTGAGTTGGCTGATACTTAGAATTTTGTATTTTTTGTAGGCTGCTTCACTTCTTCAGTTAATTAAATGAAACAGAAACCGAGAGAGCGAGAGAGGGAGGTATTAGTGTGCTTGAGTGACAACAGGTTCAGACAGTGTGACGATTGTGTGTGTCAGAGTAAGGTGAGTTGGGCCCAGAACACAGAGAGCGAGTGAGAGCAGAGTCCAGCGAAAACAGCCAGAAGGTAAGTCATTAACCTCCAATGCTCTTGGTTTTGTTTTTGTCTTATATGTGTGTTTATTGTTATTAGTTTTTCTGTCATTCATATTTTTGCATTGTATGTTATTTTTCTTTAAGTGTATACATATTTTTGAGCTTATTATGAAGCAACCTTGAGATTCTGAAATGATAGATAAATAAGACACTTTATTTGTATAGCAATATAGGTAAACATAACTTTTTTATGTGTAAATGATCATTTACAATACCAAATTATACATACTACCATGGTTAACTCTGAACACTATAATTAGTCAATTCCTTTTCTTTTAAACAGCAAAACCTTTACTGAAACATTTTGAATTTTATATACGACACTTTCAAACCAGTACTGTGAACTACATCTTCAAATATAAGAAAACTACACCACTAATACTGACTTAACGTTTCCAAAGCTTTGGAGCCTTCAGCACGGCATTTAAAAAATATGTTCTCATTATATCATGTATTATAATATCTTTTCACTTTTAGCTCCTATACGCAAGTTATGGGCTTTACTCAAATGTTTATGTGATCAAATATTCATAATTTGCTCTTAATTTCATGTTCCATTTCATTTGTAGTTCAGCTATTTGTGAAATATTTGAAAAGCCCAGCTTAATGCACGTCCTAATATGAATAATATAAAAAATGTGCAATAATGACTGTGTAAATCTCTGCACAGTATGACATTATGAGTGATTTTGAGTCAGTCATCTGTCTTGGCACCAGCTGCAGTTCCAGCACGACCAACTGGAGTCAAAGTCAATGGCAGGCTGGAGTTCATCTTATCAAAAAGTCATAAAGCAGAGAGTAGCCTGTCATTTTAGGAGACACGCTTTTCCTAAATAGGAACTTACTGATACGCTGTATACACACAGAATGAACTTTGAACAGTGTGCCTATGATGACGTGACTGATAAACACACATTAATGTGGGATGGAGGGGAGAGATAAACCTCAGGCCATGTTTAATTTCGACAGTAGCCCCAAGGAAGCCTGCATGCTGCTGCTCTTCTTCTTTTGTTTGATTGTGTAAGAGGAATGTCTTCTGCAAATTCTCTCATGACAAATATATGGCTGATCTTTTCCCAACATTTTAACAGATGACCACCATCACACGTCAAAGTCACATGTTTCCTTCTTCCTTCCTTCCTCTTTAGATTGCAAAGACTGGATTAACATCTCCTCCTGAGTTCACAAGACCATGACTATCGGCAGGAGCTCCAGAAAGAACAAGGCCCCTCATTCTCCTCCTTTCCTGGACAAGGCTAATGGATTCTATGGGCGCTTGGATGAGATGTTTGGAGACGATGTACAGATGGAGAGAGAGACCATAGAAGAACAGATAGGAACCTTAAACCGGAGCACCCAAGACAATAGTACAGCTCCAGGCTGGATAGAAGAAGATGACCATGTGGTTGATTTTAACCAGGGTATGATGGATGACGATGGGACCACTTTACTGAAGAAAAAGCCCAGCAGACTGAGTCGCCGCTGGAGCAGGATGAGCTCCAGGAAGGGAAAATATGACAAATTTCCCTCAGAAAAAGAACTTGGTAATGAGACCAACAAGCCCACCTCTGTAGATCTAAACCCAGAGGTGCCACCAGCAACCCAAACCCTGGAAAACAGCAAAGAACCAGAACCAACGCTGATCCATTTCTCTGTGAGGGAGCATACTGATGACCAGACTCTGATATCAGGGAAGAAAGAAGGAGAACGGGAAATGGAAGACACAAGAAAAGAGAAGAAGACAGAAGGCAAACTGAATGGAGAGTCAATGGAAGTTGTAAAGAGGAACAATCTCAAGAATTATCGCAAGGTGAGATTTAGTCCTTAGGGTTGGTTGTTTAATTAATTTGGACATTTCTGTAAAGTTGCTTTGCAACGATTAGTATCGTAAAAAGCGCTATACAAATAAACTTGAATTGAATAGAATTTTGAAAAATTCTGGAACCGGAATCGAATGGTGTTCGGTTTCGTTTGCGGTTCTCCACTGAAATATCGTACTAAAATACCCTAACTGCAATACTTAAAGGGGTCATATGATGCGATTTCAAGTTTTCCTTTCTCTTTGGAGTGTTACAAGCTGATTGTGCATAGATAAGATCCCTGAAGTTGCAAAGGGATGTCACATCACAGTAGTGTCAGCTGTCTTAACCGTGGCTTGTGTACTGCAAACACATACCAGCTTCATCACTGTGTCTGTCACGCGACTCTGTTCCCCTTTCGGGCTTGAACTGATGGTAAAACTAATGACATTATTTACTGTCTTTACATTTATTTTGAAAGATGAAGCTCGCGATTATGGTAAGGGGCGTTACATTTCCGACAAGTGCTTTAAAAAGCATCATATGACCCCTTTAAGGCTACTCGGCGTTGCTGCAACGGTTCTTTTTGGTGAATAAAACCATGCCTGCAACCCGCGTAGTCAGAACGAATTACTCTAATGAGTCAATTCCTTTTAGTGAATCAAACACGAACTGCTTACAACAGCGCAAGATTAGAGTAGTTAACGACTGGTTGTTCACATAACACCGTGTAGATAAAGATACAAATTAAGCTTTTGCCAGTGGTATTTTATAAATGGACTATTAGAAAAACGAAATGTGTTCCCATATTTGTGCTATTGATGTTTAATATGGCCATATTTAATACAAAATATTGGTCTGCATTTATGCACCTTAAACAGACAGTCTACAACCCATTTTCAAATTTTGCTTGATAATAATTTTATTGTGAATAAATCCGAACATAACTGTGATAACTTCAATGTCCCATGCATCATCCCAGTATCTAATTATAAAATTGAACTCCTAAGGAGTTAATACTATTTGGAAGGTCACTTGAGCAGGCAGGGCTGGTTACTCTGTAACCATCTATGGTCTCAAGGCGGAAGATATTTTAGAGAGGCATGTGGGGTAAAGTTCCTTTTTTTTTTTTTTTTTCATTGTGCAGAAATAAGCAGTCTGTTATTTGTGCTAGGGTCCATCACCCCATAACTGTTTACATTTGCTGCAATATACCATGCTTGTCTCTCCTTTTCATCTCTCCACCCTACCTAGAGTAATAGTTTTGTACTTACTCCCACCCTCTTGTGTTATTAGTCCTTTTCTTGAACCATCGGTTTAATCACTATCAGTTTTCTGTTTGCATTTATATGGTCAGAGGACAGATGCAAGTGATACAGGGACAACAACTCTTTTCAGTTGCACACAAGGTGACCTTGATTAGAGGAATGTATGTGAATAACCAAACAACCCTGTCACTTCCATTCTGTCCTCTAGTTCAGCTAATAAGGGCACATTCTTTCTCTGTCAGAGCAATGACCCTGTAGAACTGAACAAACATCTTTCTAATTAACAGTGATGTATGTTCATATGTAAAGGTTGTTGTTTTCTGTGATAAACTGGCTTTATCATTTATTTTTACTTTTCTACTTTTAGGCCGTGGACAGAGCTTTCCGTCGAGGATGGGAGACTTTTGTTGCCAATCTGTACAGTGTGACACTGACACCTATATCATCAACCTCCTCTTCATCCACACCATCAGACAAAACTGAATTCAACAGGAATCGTGTTTTAGCAGAATTCAGATAACAGTAGAACAGACTCATTTGTATTTTCATATTGATGAGTAATTTCATTTATTCATTTAAGTGTGCTCAAATATTTAATTTGCATTGTTGTTCTTGCATAAAACTGATAACCATCAATCTTGTTTTAAACTGATCATTATGTAACCTGACATGAAAGGTCAATATTTGAACTTTTATCAGTGTATAAATTTGTTATCACAGTGCTAACTAAAGAGGCGTCTACCTGATCTTTGTTCCCTTGTGAGGAAACATGAGGCCTATAATTATCCAATGTGGACAGATCCTTTTTATTTGATGTGATAATGTTTTTGAGTAGCAGAGTTCCTGTACTTTGGCGATGAACGTGTATTACAGGTTTTGTACCAAAGGGTTAACCCTTAAAAAAAAAAAACTGGGAGCTCATGGATTTTTTTTTTAATGTCATCAACAGGTAACATCACTGGCAGTGAAGTATATAAATAACTGAGCCGAGAGATTAAATGAAGATGGCTTTTGTTTTCTTGGGACTTATTTATCTTGTCTAACTTAGTTTGCTGAACCCAGTTTCCTAATGTTATGAAGGAGAATTTTTATTTGTAGCGTCTTTTTTATCTGCATTGTGACATCAAAGCAGTGCTTATAATAAAAAGGAAAAGTGAGAAAAAAGTCAATCTGTTTGGCTTGATTCTGTTCTACTGAACAAAAGTGATGTAGTGTTGTTTCCCATACGGCAAAAAATATTTTTTTGTGACGACATATACCAAAATATATAGACATATACCAAATATAGCGAAGCTCAATGAAATACATTTTTTAAATATATATATATATATATATACACACACACACGGTATATATATACTATACAAAGAAAAGTTGTATAGTAGTATTCTATTCTTAACATAGCAAAAGAGTCATGTTAAACATTGTGGTTGATATGGTTCATCATTCATCACATGCTGGAATGGAAGGTCAAGTCAGACGCATTTCATTGTGGGATACTATATCCCATGCAGTGTGCTCTTATTAATACTGGACAGTTTGATAATTAGGGTGGGTCATCTAGGTAATCGATGCATACAGAAAATGAGCACATTATGCACAGTGTACATACTACATAGATGTAGACTACTGTAAAGTGAGTAGCTTTGCTGTTTCAAATCTACTGTAGGCCTACCAGTACTCTTGTATCGGTGCAGATATGGTGCCATCTAGTGGAAAATGTGAAGCTTAAAAATGGACAGTTATGATTTTCATCTGCTTTTTATATTACAAATCAACAAGCAACAAAACGTTCTACAGCTGAGTGTATGTGATACTGGTATACCTGTGTTATACGTTCAAATTGTGTTATACATTATTTTGCCTCTAAGTGTCTGCTCTCACTATGCTGCATTTATTAGTTTTGCTATATAGGATGGCTATTATGTGCACTAGAATAACATGTTTTACATGTTTTTGTGCAGTTACAGTTGATTGTTTTAATACTATTTTAATTCATAGACCACAACGAATGTTGGCGCTTTTAATGTAATCCAGTAACCTCATTGGTTGTTTGTAAAATGGGCGTGGATTTTACATTACAAGAATAAAAGGCGCCGAGACCTTCCCTTCGTCCATTTTGGAGGAGCTTCTTCCCTGGTAAGGCTTTTCGATGTATCTATATTAACTGTAGTGTAGTTGGTCAGCTCTCTATGTCGACTTTTTCCACAAAAGGTTCTTAAGATATATATATATATATGTGTACATGTATGTCCCTCTTTTCTTTCTTCGTCTGCATTTAAACGTGTATTTCCCTCTGGGGCCCTTTAGTAGGTAGCTTCTGGGTGTTTCCAATCCGTCGGCTCACGAGCCTCTGATTTGTATCTAAAACCATCCTGGTTTAATTATTGCTATTATTTGACATCTTCCCATTATTATCAAAGCTTACATGTTACTATAGCGTAATTAAGACGTATTTGTTACTGGTTTGCTTTTTTTAAGGCGTTGTCGAGATCTCTCAATGATGCTAACTTTCACAGACCTGTACTGAAATCCCGTGATTGCACTTTATTTATCTGAGGAGAGACTGGCGGGAAGAATTGTATTGTGTTCTGAAAGCTTCAAATGCGAACACGTGTCTCAACTGTACGGCTTTCTTTTGCAGCTGTGTCGACCACGATGACCATGAATGGCGTGGGCTCATGGGAAGGTAAGGATGCAATTTATAGTGCTTTTCCTAAAGCATGCATGGAAATCGATTGATCTATTTTGGCCAGTTTCGTATTTGAATGAATTTCACTTGAATTAAATATTAGGTTAAACACGGCTCCTTATGTGTGCACAATACTCTATCTGCGTTATTGGATGCTTTTTACATGCTAGTTTGTGCCACTTGAATGTGGACCTGATATTAGATTAGGGAACCCGGTTAACTAGAACCGTAATCTCTATGAAACTGCTTAGTTCATCTTTATTACATGAATGTAATGCATGGGTCCTTTTATAAAGAACTTGAGTTTAATTGATCCAGGATCTTACTCCTCTGGTGTAGGCCTGAATTATGGTCTACCACACCAAGAAGTAACTGCAGCATTTGTGTGCTGAATGTATGAATCGACATCCGGTGCTACTGTGATGACTTCTGAATTCTCTCTTCCTGAATTGCTTTGATGTAACCGTTCTAAACTGAGTAGCATTGGATATCTAGCACACAGTGCCAAGCATTAATGTTAGTGCTTGTGTTCGTGAATGCTGACACTTATTAAAGCGTTTGTTTTGCAGTTTCCGTGCCATCTGCTGGGATGAGTAGATCAAGATCGGTTAAATTCAAGGTGAGTTCTTCTAGTGTTGAGGGTCCTCTTTTAAGATTGAACATTTTAAATGATGATTACAAAAGACAAGCATATGTCTGATTTCCAGTGATGTTTGCCATTTTTTTCTGACACGAGGCAGATGACTGGAGTCCAGTTACTTCCCTGTTGCAGTAACTAATTGTTCCGTTTTATTTTAAGGCCTCCTTCACATGAACTTTGAGAGCATGATGACCATGGGTTGTGTTTGTAAGTAGTTTTTCGAATTCAAAGTTGGTTTAGGTTTCAAATCCGTATTGTCTGAAGTGATTTAAGTATTTATACCTTAACTGGACGACAGATTTGTCATATGGCATTCTAGTCACCAAAGTATGATCAGACCGTATGACCGTACAGTGCTGGTTTTTGAACGGTGTTGGCTACTTTCCGTGTTCACAATGCCTGTTATTTTTCTAGGTCCCCCCCCCCCCCTTTTTTTAATTTTATATATGTATGGTGTTTGAATGAATGGTTTATAGCGTTAATATTTAGACCGTCTTATTGCCCCATGGTGTTATAGTCCCCAAAACCCTGATCAGAGAGTGATAAACCTGGTTTTGTTTCTCTAGTTTTAATTCGGTCTGGACTATGGCCCAAATTTATATCACGGTATATTTCAGTCGATATGATATAATTCCGATATCGAAATTAACACCATCTGAAATAGAAATCTTTTGTAACATTATACATGCATTTTATCATCACTTTTGATTCAATTTTAAGCATCTTTGCCAAATAAAAGTGTTCATTTCTGTAATTTCTTTCCCCCAAAAAATAATAAATTATACTGACTCCAAGCTTTTGAATAGAATAGTGTTACAAAAACTTTATTTCAGATAAATGCTTATCTTTTGGATTTTTCTATTAATCAAAGAATCCTGAAAAAAAAAGTAAAGTACTCCTGTTTTAAATATTGATAATCCGCACATTAGAATTATTTCTGAAGGATCATGTGACCTGAAGACTGGAGTACTAATACTGAAAATTTAGCTTTGATCACAGCAAGAAATTACATTTTTAAAACCCATTCCAATAGAAAGCAGTTATTTTAAATGGTGAAAATATTTCAAAATTGTACTGTTTTTGCTGTACTGGATCAAATAAATGCAGCCTTGGTGAGCAGAAGATAATTCTTATATTTAAAAAAAGTAACAATCTTGCTGTTCAAAAACTTATGACTAGTAGTGTAGACTGATTATTATAGATTGAAACAAATGTGCTTCAGCCAGGAAAAAAGGGTATGAAAAGTGATCCCCTCTGCCAGCAGGAGGCACTTTTAGAGTGCTAAAACTAGCGGTTCCCAGGCAATGGCTGTAATCAAAGCATGAGCTACTTCATCAGATAAAAATGAAAGAGTCATCGAAACTTTTCTGAAGACAGTCGGTTCCCTTCAGAGATAC